ATAGATAGATAGATAGATAGATAGATAGATAGATAGATAGATAGATAGATAGATAGATAGATAGATAGATAGATAGATAGATAGATAGATAGATAGAACTTTATTGATCCATTTGGTAGAACCTCAGGGAAATTGTAGGTGCTTAGCTGTAGGCATAAATTGCAGCAAAACGCTTCCCCTCCATGCAAACTATCCATGTTACGTGACAGACTAAGCTCTTCTTACATTATGGATCATTTTAAGGCAAAATCAAGGCAAGTTCATCCTCAAGTAGGCGCACAGTAAAACACAATCAGGTAAACATGCATACATTGGGCAACTATGTCCCTCTACTGAGGCCTGTCTAGTTTGAAATATTTATTTTCTGTATTTTTCATTCTATTATTTACTACATATTTAAATCAATGCCTTTATAGAACAGCATCTCATGTGAATAAGAAAAGAAGTGGACATTAAATGTAACATCAGTCTCTTACAGCAACATCTTAGTTACTGTGGTATTTTTTAATGTACTTTCTCTTTTATACTATTATATTTTTATACTTCTCTTTTAATGTACTTTCTCTTAATCATTTGGTGACATGAATTGATTTACTATGATGGCAGACGCACTAAACTTAACTCATTTAAATAACTCCATTTCTAACTCATTTTCACCAGGTGGTGGGCTCGGTGTCTGGAGGTGACTATCACTGTGGAATTTGCCAAACATTGACCAAAGGAGCTCCTTACCAGGAAGGTGGTTCAGGGCCTCAGTGATGTTTGTTCCAACTCGTGAGGAAACAGGACAGAAAACCAGAAGGTAATCACACTGGTCATGAGATGTCACCTCAGTTTGGCCTTCTCCTCTTTTGAACCTTTCAACAATGTGTTGGTGAGCGTCATGAGTAATTCCCTCCACGATGACAAAGAACTTTTTCCCCAATCCTTAAGATGAATCAAAAAGATTATCTGAGTCATTATTGGGCTGTAACATTAATGAGTGTAGCCACACTACCTGAAGCAGGTGAAGAAAGATCTTGTCAAAAAATCTAATTTTAACATGATTTACCACAAATAACAAACATATTGTAAACTTCATCACAGTTCTGCTTGATTTTTACATCCCTGGAGGTGTTCAGTACATGAATGATGAGTGAAAGTGTCATTGTCAGCCAGGTAGAGATACAAAAGTGTGTTAGTTCCTGTTTAAAAGTTACTACATGTCTGCAGAAAAGCACTGACTCTGCTGCAGACACATAAATGCTGGACATTTAAGCTGGACTGCCTTCATGTCTAACCTGTCAGTCTATTTCACATTCGTGTGTTCATAACAGAAAGTGACACTGACAAACAAAGGTGTGTTGTTTTTGTGTCGCACTCCATAGATCCTATCTAGGTCTGTCAAAAGTCAGAAACTGTTGTCCTGTACCTGACTCTTTGCCAAATGTATTGCTATGTGAACTCCATTTATGGTCACATATTATTTGCTACTTATTGTGAAGCGACTATATAAGCTGTGCTGACAGAGGCCTGCCTTGGCCCTGGTATGTATCAAAACACTTTGAACAAGTAACAGAGTGGATTTGATGCCATGTACTGCTCTCTGTCATGTTGTACTTTATTGTTTTTTTGTTTTTTTATACCATCACAAGGGGTCACAAAGGTCAGAAACTGCTACATAACTTACAGATTTCTAACCAGCTCTTCAACTATAATCACGATGGCTACAACGTTGACCCATGACATCATGGTTTTTTTGGCATTAAAAAAATAAACAAAAATGATCAAAATCTCTCTCATTGTATTGAGCACGCAATTGTTGAAAAGTAATTAAGTCTTGTTTTGATCTGAAATAATGTTTTTGTTTCCTGCATCTAAAGTTGAAAACACAAAAGGAGGTTTAACATTAATAAAGGTGATCTTGTTACCAAGCAGTTGCTTTCTGACACATCCAGCAGACACACAGTAGCATTAGCAATTTTTGTGAGTTTCTGACCTGGAAATATAACTCACTATCACTATAAGTTGAACATTCACTCTCATTTTATCCCTGTTTTGGTCTCCACCACCTCCCAGTTTAGCTGTTAACTGCTCTTTCATTCAGCTAGATGTTAACTTTGCTGTTTGATGCTGTCAAGTCATGCTCAGTAGAGCTTTGTTGGTCCCAGCAGCTGCCTGCTGGGGCTGAAAACTCAGCTCATCCTGCAGAGTCATAATAATCTGTAGTCTCATCACTATATCAGCAACCTGTTTCACATGGGAGTAGTCAGACACTGATAAGATGAAAAGACTGATAGAGACACTTTAAATGATACCTGTTGAAATAATGATGTGAAGCTTTAAATGGTAAATGTATTTTCTCACCATTTTGCATGTTTGGGGGTTCAGATCTGAAGAAGGATAAAGAAAAGCAGAGGACCCTTTAGTCAACATAATATAATGTTAAGTAAAGCAAGCAGGTGTGTATGTGTCACAAACTCTCTTGTTGCAGCTGCTCTATACCAGTTTTAACTGACCCAGAAGTCAAAAGTCTGTGTCTGCAGCACCAGAGAGTGCACTTTCAGAACCGCACCCGTCCAGAGTTGTTTCGAGACAGTGTCACCTACTGTAATAGATGATCCCTAAAGTGTTCAGCCAAAACACTGCATATAGTTTTAAAGGTCATTCCACCCAAACAGTCCTGTCTAACAAGATATGCATTTAAAGGTGAATTCAAGACAAATCCAAGTACAAATCATTCCACTGGTTTATTCCACACATATATTATTAAAAGTATCAAGTTATGGCCTTAAATGTCTATTCCAAAATTCGACTTTCTTTCAGTAATTCAAAGAAATATTTAAGCAAATAAGTTGAGTTGGTTTTGCAGCAGACCGTCAGTAGTTAAAACATGACAGTTAGAGTGCCTCCTGACAAGTTACAACACAGCTTGTTGTTCACACTTTGGCAGGTTGACTGTGCTGTGCAACGGAAGACATCAGAACTGTTTGTAATGTTAAACAAATCAAACTTGAATCACATTCACTACTCATGCTGTGACTGTCATTGATCTTGGCCAGAAATTATTATTATTATTATTATTATTATTATTATTATTATTATTATTATTATTATTATTATTATTATTATTATTATTATTATTATTATTATTATTATTATTATTATTAATAATAATAATAATAAACTTTATGTATACAGCACTTTTCAAAACAGGGTTACAAAGTGCTGTACAGATTCAAAGAGAAGTGTAAGCAAAACAACATTAAACAACATTATGAGAAGTAAAAAATACATAAATAAATCAAGAAAAAATGGTGAAGGTGAAACACATAAAGCATGAAAGACAATAAAACAATATAAAAACATATAAGAAAAACAAAACCCAGGAAAAGAAGACAATTAAAAGACAATAAAGGAAGGAATAAAACAGAAGATAAAGTGTACTGCCCTTAATACTGCCATCTACTGCCGAGTAAAAGTCCACTCATAAAACAACTCCTGTAAAAGCTCATCTGTAAAAATGTGTTTTTAAAAGAGTTTTAAAGGAGGACAAAGTGCTTGCAGATCTGATCTCCTCAGGGAGACTGAAATGAACTCTATGGGACTCATTCAACTCAGTAGGTGACGAGAAAACCACAGATTCTAGAAGCTGATCGTACAAATGGAGTCCTGAAAGACACACCCATATTATCAGATGACACAGTTAAAAATATTTTCAACATAAATCACCTGAAATTCACCAAAATAAAGTAGAAACCCAGAAGTTCAGTCTCACAGAGATTATTTAAAACATTTTAAGACGGCTACTTACAGAACAGATTGATAATTTCTTCGTGTTTCTGCCATTTTCCTTCCACACAGTGCAGACATACAGCTCCACCGTGACAGTGAAGCACTTTCACTTTTGTTTTGAGCTACAACACTTCCTCAAGGAAACCACTAGAGGGATACTGATACAGAGTGTTAACTAATACAGTAGTATGTCACTGCAGAGCTGGAGCTTGCACTCTCAGGACCCACACCAATAGGACCAAACTTCCAAGGCCACACACTTCTTCTATGGCCACACGTTTAGAGCATTTTTGTTTAGACAGCGCCATCTACCGCAATGGATGATGGTCCCGTAGACCAGACATTAACTGGATCCTGAACTTTAAAAAAGAGCTGTGAGCTAAAATGGAAGCTGAGCTTTTATTATCTCAATTTAATGAAGAAATCACTGTTTGTTATTGGTGATAACACAAAGTGACAGACAGTTAACACAAATACAACCACTTTGACTTATTTGCATTTATTCTTTACACATCATCATAATAATCTCAGTATTACAATCTGCACAAAACAGCATAATGATTTCACCAAGCTGTTCTGATTTTATTTAATCTGCATGTCTAATTTACTAATGCACACAAATATAATGTCACAAAACCTGCATCTCAGCAGCACAGTTTCTGTCAGGTGAGGTGTAGGTAAGTTTGCATTTACTCGGGGTGTAAAGATTCACAGATATGAACCGGAAATCGATTTTAACTTTAATGATATGAATACATCGATCGGCAAGCCTCTGGATCGATCTATATCTATTGTGGAGCGGTCGATCTCCAGTTGTAAAGTTATGAATCAGTTGATTGGAGCTCTGATACTAAATATGGCCGCTCCAGTCTCAACCTGTCTCGCGAGACTCAAGCTGTGACGAGAGTACCGCTCGCTTAACATGTCCATTAGGCACAACTAACCCCAGGGATCTGTTTAGGGATACTAGTTTACTCATGTGACTTAGAATAACCATTAAGAACCATTATAAAGATCTTATGCACACAATTGACTAACTTTTTACTAGCATCAGCTACTGTAAATGACTTAATGAAATTTCAAACCAAATAAACTTTAAATACATGATACATGATACACTTGATTACACACACACATTGTGTGAGGCACTTCCTCTTTAGCCCATATATGTGATACCTTTAGGATCTGATTCACGTATTTGGTAATAGCAAAGAGCACAGTCTGGCAATCACAGGATACATGTTGCTAAAAAGAAGAACCATCAACTGTTTCAGCAATGGGTTCATTCTGCAACCTTCCTGTAGACAGTGGCCTCATATGACATGTCCAAACCTGAGCTGTTTTAGGGACACTAACCTTTCTTAATCTCTTGACATTTTCACCCCTTCTCTCATCTTTAACTGTGCAGCTTTAATTCAGTGGTTACATGAAATCACCTTTAATTCATGGCAATGTTAAAATAACCATTTCATCTTTAAACAATCACCAGAGTACAACATTTCTTGTCATAGAGTCCTTTATATTACTTACGCCGGCCCAGTGTTCCTTGTTAGTGGCTGCTTCTGGGATCTCAAACCTTGACTCCACTTGACAACCCCAAAACGCGCCAGTTTAACTATTTTCAAGTATTTTCGGTCACACATTTGTCAGAGCACCACGGCCACCAACAGCAGCTACCACAGCCTGCAATGTGTTGCATTTAATGAACATCTGTAAATTTTAGCGTCTATCGAGAAGCACATGTCCAGCAAGTGATGTGGTTTTGCCTGTGACAAAGTGGAAGACGTGACCAAATAAGAAAGTAGGTTGCACCGGTGCTATCAGGTGATAAAGTTAGTCTGGAGCCCTAGATTAACACGTGATTATTCAGGAAACACGCCCTGATCAACTGGTGACAGTCACAACTTAACACAGACACACGCTGTCGCTTTAATAATGACACTCAAAATATATTGACTGACCAAGCAAAACACACAATATAGAAGCATGTTGTGTTGTGTGTTAGTCTGTGCATTCAGTGTCAGAGATCCAGAGCGGACGTTGAAGCTTATCTTGAGTACGTTCACTAAAACACACACAGCAGCCTCCCACCACAACTGGAAGCAGAACATTAGTTTGGTTTTCACATACTGAATACAGCAACAGTCTGTCTTGTCTGTGTGTATTCAAAAAAATAAACACAATGACATTGTTCTGATCTGATACATTTCTCTTTAATTTTTTTCACCATACAAATAGATTCCAGCTGCATCACATCTAATCGCATCATAATGTAGTAAAATTTATCACTAGCGAATCGTTTGGTAGACCATGTATCTAGATTCGTATCAGATCGCCTCTTAAGGTAGAGATGCACATCCCTAGCATTTACATTCTCATGAAACAACACATGAGCACATTTTTTCAAGTGCATCTTAAAATATTGCTCACAGACCTAATACAAACACTCTTTGTTTCTCTAACTACTTGTCACAAAGAAAGACATTTCAT